CCAAATAAAAGAGGCTATTTGGTTTTGCCCTATTTGCGATCCAGAGAAATTCAATCAGAAAAATTGGATTCTATATGTCACAAAATCAGCCAAGAATCTCAAAATTCAAATCTGTTCAGCAGAATGTTCATTACACCTTGACAATGCAAAAAACACCATTGGTTTTCTATTTATCAATATGCAATTCCAACTTAAAAAAACAGCAATCAATACAACCAATGCTTTCAATATAAAGTTCATTAATCAACTACTGAAATACAATAACAATATTAAACTCTTTTGGCTACAACTTGCTATATACACAGGAATAATTTGCTTGGGTTCAGAACTCAACTAGTTTAAAACATTTGTAAATATCAAAAACCTTTCTGAAATCTATAACCCAATTCCAAATTCTAAGATAACATTTTAGTTCTTGTACAATATCAATGCAATTATCAAAACTCATAAAATATATATCTCTATAAACAAAAGAACACTATTTAAAGGCAAATATTTCACTATAGACCCTAATAATAATCTTACTAAATGTTTGAACTATTCAATTGGTATACCCTCTCATGGTTTCTGTTAGATATTATTTCCGAGCACATTAGTTTCCACACTATAAGTTTCTTTCAATCCTTTTAACAAATTCAAATACTGTTTGCTCAATATAATCAATTAAGTTGTCAACTTACCATCAAACAACAAATATATCTTTCAAGAAGTTAATATTTCTATCAAATATTTTCTAATCACTATTACAAGATCTCAGTTCACAATAATATTATCATATCCAATTACACAAAAATAATTTATTTATAAATGAAATCAAAATAAAACCACTCAACTTCTGTTTACTATTAGGCAACATTCTATTGACAATCTTTAATATTATTCAGAAAATTCCAATTCACTTTATTATTAAAATCAGAAACAATAAAAAAATTATCCAATTAGTACCTAAGTATTTGAAAATAATGGTTAAAATCAATTTTTCCTTATTATTCCAGAGAATAAATTAATATATATAACAAAAATCTATAGAAATTATATACACCAAATCTAAGCCCAGACCAATATTAACCAGAATTATTCAATGAAACAATCCCCACTACACTTCCTTGAAAATCTCCTAATCAATAATACTTGCTTAGGTAGTAGTATCAAATGGTGCAAGAAAATTTTTAGCATTATCAGAAATTATATAGTATGTAAAAGCTCCTCAATTGTTCAAATATTTGAATGAATATATATTCTGTATGGTCTAAAAGTTATCAATCAATCCAACAAAAATATCAAAAAGCTTTATAATAACAAGTACAGTACTCTAATAGTCTTCAGAATCAAACTGCTCTCAGAAACTCTTCCAACTTGTCTTATACTTTATCAATTATATTTTATTTAATATTCAGATACTCTCTGTCCACAATGCGAGTTTCATATTGAAGATATTTAACATATTTTTAAATGCTCGAAAGCATTACAAGTAGCTAAACAAATCATTCAGACTCTCTATTCAGACAATAATCACAAATCAATCTTACACATATAACAAGTCATCAAATTGTTATGTGAAGTTATAAACAAAATCTTCTCTACCTTAACCTCTACTAACTGGATCAAGGCAGCAACAGAATCTTTAACTTTTTTACATGATCTAATTTGAAAATCACATTGCTCCACAGCCAATATCTCACCCCTTACTAAAATCAAGTGAAACCATTCCAAGTCATATAATTCAATCAACTCTATTAATCCAGAAACTAAAAAAATCCTGTAAATCAAAGACAACTCCAATAACTTACAAGACAATATTATCATTGATTTATTTTCTACTGTTACTAACTCATTTATCCAATTTAAATATAATTATTCCAAATATATTTATAGTTTAACAACTCTATCTGCTAATTTCAATTCTATTTCTCCTGATACTAAGTAGATATTTATAGCTGCTTAATGCTATTTAACAAGTTATATTGTTTTAAACTTTCTTTTCAATATTAGTTGTATAGTTATTGTAGGCAAGTTAGCATTTAACTTATTATATCAATACATAAGAGATATTATTTCTTTTATGATGTATACTATATTATATACAAATCAAATAAAGAAATGATGTTTACCTACTAAAAAAAAAAAAAAAAAAAATAATTTAATATTAATATTAATTTTATTATTAAAGATTTCAAAGATAATGGGATTTTAATTTTATTTGTCAATAATGCAAAATAATTAAATTTTTAAAAAATAAGATCTGAGTTAATTAATATAATCTAAAAAAATTTGATCTTTATAAAAAAATTTTTTTTTTCAATTAAATAATATTTTAATTAATATATTAAAAAATTCTATCACTATTACTATAAATAAAAAAGATGAATTTATAAATTTATAAAAAAAAATTTTAAGTATTTTACTATTTTAAATATTCATACTTTTGGAAAAATCTTTTTTATTTTCAAAAATATAATAAAATAAATTCTATAAATATTATTATCCATTCTTTTGTTAAATAATTGGATTTTTTTATTAATATAACAATAATCTGTATTATTTTTGATACCTGTCTTATTATTAACAAGTTTTTTATTTTATAATAATAAAGCAATAACATATTAGTCATATCTTATTTTTTAATTAACTTGTATAATTTCTTACATAAATATAAAAACTATTGATTATCAAAAATATATTTAATAAATTTTTTTCATTTTTTACTTGCATTATATTTAAGATTTTTAACAGTACTATTTTGGTATTAAGTTAATACTATGGTTCTGAAAATTGAAATCAAATAGACTTATATATAGACTTGTATAAGATTTGAAACATTATTAAAAATAATAATAGGTTATAATTTACATATTAAATTTAATATAAACCTGAGAATCAAGAATCAAATTGAATTGTTAGAGTCCTTAATTGATACTGAATTTATTATAAGTCAATATTATTTTAATATTAGTTTGAAACCCTAATTATGAGGTTGCTTAGCATCTTCCAAGTGAGAAATATATACAGACTGTGAAAATAAGAATAATAAAAATCAATCAGGTTAAATCATATAGTGCAAATGCTATTTTGAATTTGACTGGTGCCCAAATCCAAAGTCGTTTCTCTACTTTGCCTCGCATTCTCACTAGACATGTAAATCTTATCATGTGATTCAGTAAAGAATATTCCCGCTGTAATAAAGTTTCGCCCAAATTTGGCTTGTGATGTAGTCACTCATACCAATTTGCCTATGCAACGGCAGTTTTTAAACATCTCATTAATTTGCATTGTTCTTTTACTTTTTATTATAGTAGTAGCAAATAAAGTTTTGATTAACTGTGTAATATATGTACATCAGATTTTTTTTGCTTGATATGATATAACAAATCAAATAAATCATGCATTACTGTGTTTGTGTTTCTAAAACCTCTTGTTGAATAACATATAAATCAATAACGAAATTATTGGTAGTGACTGCGGGAGGGACTGCTACAGTATACCCAATGACACTTGGAATTCCTGCAACAATTGGTGAGTCCCAGAAAACATGACACTGGAATATTGACTTGTTATGCAGGAAGGTTCGGACCTGTGCAACCAGTAGGGTTATCACTATTAAACTGTAGAGTGCCGAAATCCCACCTTAATCCTTAAACATTCAACCACCACAAGAGATACCAAAAGTAGATAGATCTTACCTCTTGGACGGATACTCCTGCTAGTCCTGTTACTGGTGTACTCCCCGGTGGTGCTGGTGTTTGACGCGTCCATAGCCTGGCCTAATATTTAAAACTCTTAGGACAAAACTATATAACAATAAAGCTAGTAGCTAGACATACCGTCATTGACCGATGAACGCGTCTATTTACAGTCCTTATGTTATGAATCTTGATACTGAATACGCATCGCACGTATTGTTCATTCATCCAATTGAGCTATAGCTATCTCACAGATTATTCTTGCGCGAGGATTACCCTATCGAAATATATTATCGATATTAGGAAAAAAAAAATAAATATCATAATACAAAGTACATTTGTATTGCTAGGGGGAGGACCAGGATGCGGAATGGTAGGTCTCAAAACATGAGCAGTATTTGGGCGAACTGCAATGTCTGGTGCAATTTTTAATGCAATGTTGGATGGATTATAATGAACTATAGGAAAAATGGGAATTGTTATTGCAAGCCAAATAAGCAGACCAAAAGGGATGGTTGGCCTGAAACTTTTATAGGACCACGTTTCACACCACCATTAGGGATAACAAGACTTGAATAAGCAGTGAGACAACAGCTTCGTGTTCTTCGTTGGCCATATCAACAATGTATACGTTTCCGTTGTCCCAATGAAATTTATATCCGGTTGACTCATTTCGGTCAAGAAAAGTATTATAGTCCTTCACTGAAACTTTCGATCCAATCTGAAAGGGCAAACTAGACCATACAAGTCAACATTGAACAGATCTTGAGGAAACTTACGTGGAGCACACTCACTTTTTTTCTTCTAAAGAATGTTTTGACAGTTTGGGATAATTATGGACTATTTTATCAACTTATTTACATCTGACTATGTCCGTATATTAATGAATGTTTCTACCTAGATTTAATGTGTGCGCGACGAGGATTGATGGCGGAAGACTTGCTTTCCGAATCTATAATAGAGTAGTTAGATATCTCTGCCCATTCACTCAGTTTAGGCTCTGCTTCTCTATTTTCTCGATGATGGCAAAAATTTTCATGTAGCGTAAGAAGGCATGTTTATCAGCGAAGCCGTGCATTCATGCAATGATTAAAAATGCGGTGTTAAGATCACGATGTTTTATCAGGTACTGGAAGCTTTTTTAAAATATACTTATGATATAGTCGCAATTATTTTTGTTTTCTTACCGAGAAAGTCGTTAAAGCTGAATTTTTCTTTGCAAAAGTGATCACAAAAAGTTAATAAACAAATTTTCGGAATAATTTAGATTAAAAGTTTTGAATAAATCTGCTTTCTATATACAACTGTTGATACCCAAACATGTCGTCAGAGTTAAAATTATTGAAACAGCGAATAATTGTGCTTGAAGCCGAGAACACTGCTGTTAAGTTAGATGTCAAGCGTGAAGTTGAGAATACTGAGCTCAAAGCTGAAGTATTAAAGTTAAGATACGATTTTGAGGAGCTCAAACGGCAAACCCTAGTTATTACTAGCGCACAGGATATGCCTTCTTTTGCAGAGCAAAGTCACTTACGTGGCACAGAAGATATTTCGCATTCCCCAACCAATTCACCATTTCCAGTAACCTCCCAATAATGTATCCCGCCACCTAACGAGGACTACTACTTTGATAAGAAAGATAATATCAGTGTAAGTCAGCGAAAAGCTGAGCCCAAGTCATTAGAAGAAAAGGAAGAAGAAGAATTCATGGATTCAACGTATAGGGAACAGGTTAATAAAGAGCATTAAGGAGAAGCTCAAAACTTATCTATGCTACCAAATTATCACATGACTTAAAAACCGTGAATAAAAATTCACGATCAAAATCTTGATGAATCCTTGTCTTTATCTAAATCATCTATTAATTCTACGAAGATAATGATGATCTTTCTCAGCCTGATAAAAACCAAATCGTAGAACAAGATTTAAATAAAACAAGAACTATCTACCTCTCCCATATTCTTGACTAGTAATCAGAACTTACTGGATGGTGAAAATCAATATAATCAGGTTACGGCGCAATACATAGTTTGCATGTTTCGAAAGGCAATTCGATCTGGTCGAGAAGAAATTTTGCATTGGTGTCGCTATATAGAAAGGTATGATAAAAGGGTTAATGAGATTACTTCCGATGGCAAAGTTAAGATTAAAACAGCAAGGAGTTTGGTATATAAAGAAGTTAAACAGCTACTTCCTGATATTACAGAAGCGAATCTGCAACAGAAAACTCTTAGAGCTATAAAAATATATAATCTTTTTAATGCCATAGGAAAAGGAAAAATTGAGCAAGTTATGTATAGCGCAAATGCTATTTCAAACCTTACTAACACTCAAATTCAGAGTATTATAAATCATGTACTATCAAAAACCGTGAATAAAATTCATGATCGGAATAATTCTGAAGTGAATCAATCACAATTTCCATCCCACGGTTTCCATCATCTCATAGCTGTTTACCGGAGACCGAGGTAAGTACACCTATAGTATCTCATCCCGAAGAGCCTTCATTGGAAAGTGTATCATCGTGTCAGCTTACGACAAAAACCAAGGTAAGCATACCACCCGTATCTCATACCGAAAAGGTTTTATCAGAAACAGAGATAAACATATCATCTGCATCTCAATCCGATGATTCTTTAGATTCCAACTTGGAACCACCTGACGATGAGAGATCTTACGATGGGGGTGTTAACGATAATGGTGATATTGACGTGAACCAGCTTCCAGTTGAGAATTTCTCTGATGATGGCGACGATGGAGGGTATTGCAGTTTCTCTGATAGATAATGATGATCATGGTTATTATTACGATTTAAACACCAACTTATACAAAATCGGACCGTTCAGTAATCCAGTTTTCAGATACACGTCTCAAAATAAACGTAATGTTAAATTGGGTTAAACCATATAGTGCGAATGCTATTTCGAATTTGACTGGTGCCAAACCCAAAGTATTCTCTACTTAAGATGTTTCTCGCACATGTAGATCTTATCACGTGATTACATGAAGAATATTCACGCTGTCACACCATATGCTTTTTATTCTATTTCCTTATGTAGACTTAATCGGATTGCTGGTGGACCATCTTCAAATACAATAAATTCATTTTTTCTAAGGTAACTATTAATAACCATTGATGAATTTTCTAATAATCTTAGAAATATCTTCATAGGAGCTACCAGAGTTAAAATCACTAAGTGAGAGGCGTTTTCACGTATGAATGTAGTAATTTATGATATTTATGTGCTACATATACACATGAAATATTCCGATGTCGCCCATTCCAAAAAATTGATCGATTTGATTCTGTATATGTTCTGGAAAAAGACACAAATTCTCAAAAACAATCGCTGTACTTTGTTCAGGTGAAATGCTTTTATTTTGCACTAGGAATTTTTTTAGGCAGTATATAGCTAAATTATATATTCTTATAGTATAGTGCTTGCTGGTTTTTTGAAATTACGCCATAGATGTATGATACCCACATATTATTAGATCATCACATAAAATATATCGTGATCCCTCTTTCTTACCTTTATATATATATTCTTCTTTATCACTAAGAAAAAGGTTTGTCAAGATATTAGTCTTCCCACAATTAGCATAGAGAAAGGTCATAATGGACTCACCGGATGGAACTGAATTTGGGTTGATTCATGCTTTGTTGCCTCATCCATATTCATAAGGAATAGTTTCATAGAAGGTAGTTCTTTCTTTTGATTCTTTTGCATAATGGATTGGGAATCCATAATTTATAACCATTTATATATGCAAAAAAAATAACCAGGTTTAAATAGATAATCATATTATCTAGCCCACATATCCCGCAACCACTGACTTCTCTTTTCTAATCCACATTCACATTTCAACACCACGAATCACATAACAGCAATAATTATCAAGGTAAATAACATATATATTGATAGAGGTGACATCAGAGTGATTGCCACAATAGGGATTGCTTCTATTTCTTCCACCAACATCTGAGAATGTGATTCAATCAAAGAGAACATATTATTCTTCCATTGTTTAGGGTGCAAAGACATATTTTTAGATATAATATGTGATATATTGGGTTTTATTGATACATCTAGCATATTATCCTTGTTAGTCTCGTTAATTCTAGTTTCATCACTTACCTTGAGACTATTCTCAATATCGACTTTGAAGATTCAGGTATAGGAGTACTTCAATTATAAGTCAGTACAATAGTATCAATTTTTTCTTCTTGATCCATATTTTTTTTACATACTAATTACTGACTGAAATTTTTGTTAGGTTTACTAACTGCAGATACTGTATATTATTAAACTTGATATATTTTTTTTGTCATCTTTACCAACTATGGGTTTTGATATAGCTACTGATTTAAGGTGCTCAAGTTTATTGACCTTCAAAGCCAATTCACTCTTTATATTTTCTAATTCATCTATTTTATATTTGAGAGATAAATTTTCAGATTCTTTTTTTTGATAAGTTGTTTTGAATTAAAATTACATCTTTTTAGGTCGAAGACAATTTATTTTTTAATATTTTTTTCATAAACCAAAGTGCTGTAATTTTTTTGATTCATTTTGAGTTGAAAATAATTTTATTTCCAATAATTTTATCTTAGATTGAAGATCTTTTATCATAATTTTAGATTCATTAAGAGAAGTATCTTTATATGTAATCTGAATATTAGACTATTTATCTCTGAGTTCAATTACTTAACTTTTTTTATAAACTGGTAAATATGTTTGAAAGCTTCTCTTTATCTTTATTGAATTGTTTTAAATTATATTGTATATATTTTTTGTCTTTATTCAAGACAGAACATTTATTGACAAATCAATTATCATACTTTATAATAATTTTTTAATCTCAATTTATAAAAGCAAGTTGGTTTTCAATTTCTATTTGATTAAATAAATATTGATTAGATAGTATATTTTCTAATTTATTACTTTCATTTATATTTAACAATATATAAATTTAAGACATACTGTATATGTTTTGATATTAGTATTATTATTTTTTTTTAATATTAAGGTGGGACTATATTAGTATTATTATTATATTAATGAAATAAATATAATATATTAAATAAAATATATTTATTTATTAAAAAATATCAAATAATAAAAAAATCTTTTTGACAAATATTAAAATTCCTAAAAATTTTCTTTATAAAAAATTTTAAGAAAAGATATTAAAAATATATTCAATTTTTAGAAAACTAGAAAACATTTAAAAAAATAAACAACTTATACTCTCAATAATAGAACAAGCAATTTTTGCTTCAAAATAATCAATTTCTTTTTTTATATTTATTTTTTAAAAAAAAACAAGTAAAAATTTACAAAAAAAAAGCAAAATAAATAAAAATAAACAATTTATAGTAATATCAAAAGAAAAATAATTAATATCAACTTTATAAAGCTATTAACTAATTATATATCAGATTAAATATCTTTCTAAATATTAACAGAACTTTATATTAATTAAATCATATTTATTAAATCAAATAAACTTGAATATCAATATAAGTTAAAGAGAAACCAATGCTTTTTCTTTAAAATCTTGATTAGAAAAAAAAAAATAAACAATATATATATAGTTACTTTAAAAAGTAAGATCTGATTTTGAAATTAAAATCAAAATTTATTTGATCATATTTTAATTTATTTTTATATATTATTTAATCTTGTTTATCTTGAATTATTTTATAATTTATTTTTAATATAAAAGGAATTAAATAAATATATAAGTAAATTCAAAAACAAAAAAGACTTCAAACTAATTATAATATAAGATTTAAACTTCACTTAAAGCAATAGCTTTAATAAAGAATTAGAAGGCTTCAATTATAATATTCTTATAAAAAAAAGAAATTATAATACTTATAATATTTATAATCTAACTAATAAATAATATAAAATATAATTTTGGATCAAATATAATTTATTTATTTATATTAATAGAAAAATTAATTATAACAAATTGTCAATATACTTGAAATATTTATAAAAGATAAAGATATAAATATTAACAATAAGAAAAAATAAATAAAGAATTTTTTTTAATAAAGCAGATAATATTCATAAATAGAAATAATAATTTTTAAATTATACAGTGGTATCCAAAATTATTTGGAATTTTTCTCAATATGTACAACTCAGTAAAAACTTATCTAAATCAAATACAAATTTAAATAGAAATATATAAATACTATAAAATTACTTTTACTTATAACTAGTTTATAGATTGTATTATTATTATTATTTTAAATAATTATTTTTAATTAAAAACTTTATGTTATATATTAATTTTATGACTTAATTTTCATAAAATTCAAGTTTTTTTATATGATTCTATATGTTTTTTTA